GCCTTGACGAATTTGTCGGGTATTTACAATGGTCGAATTGTATAATTGCCAGCTTTTATAGCATATCTAATAGATAAAAAGTATCTGGTCGATTAGTAACCAATTGGCACAGTCCGAAAATTATCTAGCTAACTAATCTAGCTAGTAGATGGACTGGTGACTGGTTCGAAACTTTGCATCGTGCTGTTGTCCAAAAGGGAAAAGTGTAAAATCTATTGATACACACTGCTCATTCACGCCGGTTCAAGGCCGGATGAGATCGGATATCTCGTGAGTAAGAGTTAATTTAGACACTTCCTAAGTCGGTAGGCCATTGACCATGATATGGCCGAGGACCGCGGTTCGGATTCCGCGTAAACAAGTAGGTCCCGTCCAGTTTAGCCATTGCAGCAGAAAGGAGACGTTAACTTGAACCTCACACCTCACACAATAAGCTTCATAAAAATTTAAAAAAGTTACAGAGGTGAGCCACTTTCGAAAAACACCCGGTATGATAAAAATGGTCTAAGTTAATGAGGAATTAAAATACAAATACCTTCAATATTTCAGTTTTCAGGATTATAATACCCATTGCAGATGTTATAATCCCTATAGATTATAACAAAACCCTTTTAAACTGTATATGCTTAATAAATGTTTCCTCTTAGAGAATATGGTAATATAGTTTCAAAAACATTCCACAGGTTCGATACATTTTACAGATTTTGTATTTTGTATCTCCAAGACTCGAGATATTATAGGATGGTATTATTGTACAACTGAAATAAAATAGTAACATAAAAATTCAGAGTGCAAAAAAATCCAGGAAGTTTTAAATATAACATACTTTATGCAAAGAAGAATAAATAATTGAATTAAAAAAATATGAAAGCCGAATAGAGATGTACTTTAAAATTTAAATTTAACATTAATGTAAATTAATGTTATTAGCATTGCCGAAAGCACTCGTTTTTAAAAGATATTTTTTTATTCTCTTTTGGGCTTTATTAGGCTAAATGCAAAAGTGGTTAAATAATGTATGATATTTTTCATACTATTTTCTTCCTATGGTCGTAAAGACTTTGTTTCATAGACATACATTTTTAGATATAGACTAAAGTTAGTCTACAGTATGTCCCCGGATTATAATGGCAATCTGGAAAAGGAAAAGCTTCTTTATTATTGCCATTTTGAGAAAAATGCATTCCTCATAAAAAAATTTGCTTGTTCTGTAATGGTTAATTCCGCTTATACTTTTCCAAATTTCCATACCGTTTTAGAGAAAATTAAAAAAAAACATTATTTATAATTTTTTTTTTCCTAGACCTAAAAACGTGTTTCTATGATAATGTAACTTCGTATTCATTCTTTGATAGATTGTTATTGGTAGAATTTTAATTAACGTCATATTTTTGCTGTTATAAATATTAAAGAAGCACAAAATTTTTCAATAAATTAATAAAAATTTAGTTCAATGCTAGAGAAAGGCCGGTAATAGTTATCGAAAAATGTGATACTTTAACAACGGGAAAGAATATGACGTTAACCAAAATTATAATTAATTGACGTTAATTAAAAGACGTGCTGGTCACGTATGCAGGATACCAGAAAACCGCCTACCAAAATCTCTTCTTTACGGTGAGCTTGTAGATGGTAAGGGGAAACCGGGTCGACAAATCAAAAGGTGCAAGTAGGAGGTACAAGTAGGTACAGTAGGGGGAAGCAGCGCACAATAGAACGCAATAGAAAAGAATTGTAAACTCAGTTAACAACGACAACCAATGAGTAAAGAGCAATGACTTAAGAATCCAAGGACTAATAACACCGGAGAACAAATTGTTACTATATCACCAAACAGTGCCGTGGCACATATTTTTCTTAACTTAGCTGTTTAAAGAGATATTTATATTTTTTGATAAATGTTTAGACTACGCCTATGGTGTATACGAAGGTATCATACTAATTAATTATGAAAAAACCGTATTAAAATGTTAACAAAAGGTACAAAACTAGTATCGACGTATAGCACACATCAAGTACATATAATATCAGAAAAATAATTCGAATTCAATTGATTCAATATGAAAACTAAGAAAACGCTAAAAAGGTGGAGCGAACTGTTAATTTACCTATGAAACCTAACTCCTGGCTCTTTCTTATCGCTGTTGCTTTTACACTTGAAAGCTGAACAACTAATCACCATTGTAATAAAGTTTATACAAAGTTCACTACACACAAACTATTAAAAATCGCTAAAATTGTCGCTGGTAACCAGCTGATGACTCATTCGTTGCCATCAAAAGAATGGCGTCTAATGTCACAAATTCTGCTGCAGTCCGTATATGGGCGTTACATGTTCTTTTATTCTTTAGTCATTATTAAAGAGGCAACAAAGTAACGAGATTTTTGAATGTCCGGATTACGGAAGAGAGATAACATCGCGTATCGATCTTTTCAGTCACAGAAAAGCACATGTGATGCGTGTCAAATACTCGTTTAGCGAGTAATGGCAGTAACTATATTGTAACTTATTATTGTGGCAAGTTTATTTCTTACAAAAATTTGAAATTGATTTTTAAAGGCACTGACAAACTGGTTTCCGTTTGAATTTAACTAGTATAATTCAGTGGCATTAATACACAAAATATACAATTTATTTTTAGAATTCTTTTTCAATTGTTTTTTCCAAGTAATGAAGAATGAACCCGCTACCAACGTATAGATACTATACTCATCGGCAAAAGTCTTGCGCCTCCCAGATAAATTTATTTCTTAGCATATCATATTGTTGTGGCTATATGTACAAATACCTTAATACGTGTGTACAAAAAATAGGTCATAAAAGCAATGAAAGAAAACCTTATCGATGAAATGTGTATGGTTTTGCTATTTGCGGTCAAATTTTGTTTCTCAGTTCGAGTTCAATCCTGTAGTAAGTGTTGTGAAAGGTGACAAAAATGGCAGGGCACGAAATTTCTGCCTTCGATAGTGCCCGAATTATCGCTTTGCATGAAGAAGGTCTCAGCAGGCATCAAATCGCTGATCGTTTAAATTTAGTGCGAAGTACTGTAAGCCAAATTATACAACGGGATATGGACACCGGAAATGTAAGATCTCCTCCTAGGTTGGACCGTACAAGGGTAACGACTGAACGACAGGATCGCTACTTGGCTCAATTTGGCAGAAAAAATCGGTCAGTTCCAATTCGAGAGCTACGATCTCAGTTTCAACGAACCGAGTGATATCAAGCCGAACCATTTCCAGGCGACTTTCTAATGCTGGATTGCGGCGTAGATGTCCACTGCGAGTCCCTCTATTAACTTTACACCATAGGCAACGGAGGCTACAGTGCGCTAGAGAACACGAAAGCTGGTTATTACCTCAGTGGAGAAACGTAATTTTCACTGACGAAACCAGGATAGGTTTGATCAGTGATGACTACCATCAGCGAGTGTAGGGGGAGGCAGGGGGGCAGCATCACTTGAATACAGCCCTTGCTGTTGCTCCAGCATGAGATGCTCTGGGGTGGCATCATGTACAATAGGCGAACAGAGCTCATTCATATTCCTGAGGTAATGAACGCCCATTTGAAAACTGTAATCAGACCAATAATTTATCCACTGCGAGAAGAAATCGGCAATAATTTTATTCTCATGGATGATAACGCTCGTCCTCACAGAGCTAGGATGGTCCAGGAAGCATTAAATGAAGGGGAATTTTTTTTACTCGTCTGGACTGGCTTTCACTCTCCCCCGACATGAATCCTATTGAACATGTCTGGGACTACATCAGCAGAGCTGTATTTCGCAGAAATAACCCACCAAGAAATCACCAGGAGTTGATCATTGCCGCTCAAGAGGAATGGCAGAACTTACCTCAAGAAACCATAAACAACCTTATAGTGGGGATGCCCCGACGACTTGATGCACTCATAACAAATCGAGGAGGCAGTACTTTATTTTAGTAACTTTAATTTTGTCAGAATTTATTATTTATATATTTATTTTCTCTTTTTTGTCAAACATTTTTCTTTATGGAATTTGCATTTTTTGTATTTTGGCAAAATATATTATTAAACTTTGGTGAAAGTTTCCCTTTTTGTGTTATTTTTTAACATAACTTTATCATCTATTGATTTCCACGAAAAATTAGTTTAAAACGTATTTTTTCATTAAAATAGTAAGGACATGCTAGTGTCAATTCTAGATTGATTGTGTACGTACTCGGTAAGCATAACAAATGTTACATAAGTTTGAGTACCGAGGCATGAGAGTTAGAAAGGCAAATAAAATGGAAAAAACTGGACTGTGTGCGACTGGATTCTCCGCATTGCATTGTACAAAAAAAATATATTTTTTGGATTTCTACATTTAACACAGTATTCTACAGTCTAAAAGCAGAAGATATATTTATTAATACGTTTTTCAATCAGTATTGATGTCCCGCCACGTTAGCATGGCCAGCTAGATTATTAATACCCTGATATTTTAAATTTTCAAAGGTCAGTAATCGTCCATCATATAAAAGTTTTATTTTAAAAATTGTGAATTACAATAAGTGTATTACTAGATGTTCAAACATGAAATTGATTAATATTAAAATTTATTTTATGGTGATAAGTTAAATAATATTATAGTGCATAGCAAAAAGTAACATTGAAAAAGATCTTTTATACATAGACATTTTTGTCTCATTTTCTAGTTATTATAAGTTTGGAAACTTAATAATTAAGACTGAAAAAAAAGAAAAATTGTAAAGGTAAACATTATTCCATTAATCAGAGTATTAGTATCATTATCATATTGAAACGATAAATAATGTTGAAGAAAATAGCTTTAGGACGCCACTGATTGCAAATATAAAGATACCAAGAAAAAAGGTAATAACAGACTAGAAGTTAAAGCTTAATCAGAAATTTTCATAATTTTAAAGGACGAAGAACAGCATTTTGTTTAATGAATGATTCCGCCATCTATTCCTTTCAACCTCTTTCTCGTAAGAGCCAATTACTACCTGGTGGTTTCTTTATTTATTTATAACCTAAAAGTATATATAAGTCCACCAAGATCCTTGTAATCGCCCAATACAGTCCAGAGAAGGTCAGCAAAATGTCGGAAAATCCTAGCGACTTTTTCGCGGTCCACGAGAAAATTTGCAAGTTCTTCTTGTTGATTCCACCGAAAAATCCGGCCCTGAGAAGAGTTTTCTGGACCATGGTTTCACCTCATCTGTTTCTGATTATGTGCCCTCCAATAATGGAGTTCCTCCAGATTGTGGTGGGAGGTACAGGAAATTTCAGTTCGGATATGCTGATCTTCGCTGTTTTGATGATGCACGGTATGGCTGTTGGAAGGTAAAATTTCATCGCATTTAAATAACTTTTTTTCAATTAAGTGTTCAAAGATATATTTGATATAGAAAACGGTGGCTTGTTTGTGATTTGACAATTCAGTCGTTTAATATACAGTACGTCCCCGTAATTACAAGAGGATAAACTTTTTTATTATTGACTTTTTGAGAAAAATCCATTCTTCATAAAAATTTTTGCTTGTTCCAAAATAGTGAATCCTGTTTATACTTTTCCAAATTTTCATACCGTTTTAAAGAAAATAAAAAAAACTGGAAAATATGGATGAATTTGTTGAACACTAATTGTGTTGAGACAAACTCTCTGATTGACTGTTATTGATAGAATTTTAATTAACGTCATATTTTTTGCTATTTTAAAACATTAAAGGAGCACAAAATTTATTTAGTTTAATGCTACGGAAATGGTGATAATAGTTATAAGAAAACGTGATGCTTTAACAACAGCAAAAAATATGACGTTATAATCAAAATTAATAATATCCTATCCATATATCTATCCAAGAATGATATTTAAATTAAATTACCATAGAAACGCCTTTTCATTTTTAAAAGGGTACCGAAAGTACCGGAAATTCCCGGTTCTTTTGAGATATCAAAGAACCGGGACTGGGAATTATTAATTCCCAGTTCTTTCGGTACTTTCGGGACTCGGTAATAATAATTAAAAACGTATTTTTTGTTACGTGCGAAAGACTTTACTTTTTCTATTTCTTCTAATTTAGTTAAGTTGGTTTCGAGGTTGGTTGATGTTGTTTGATGCAGTAGCGGATGCAGAGAGGGGGCCATGGGGTCCGCCCCCCCCCCTAAAATCTCTAAATTGGGTTAAATATGAGCCTTTTGGGTTAAAAATGATGCCCTAAAAAGCATATTCTACATAATTTCTTTATTTGGGCCCCCCTAAAATAAATTCCTGTATCCGCCACTGGTTTGATGTAATTTTAACCTACCTATGTGTTTTCTTTTTTTAGCTTATGTTCATTATTTGTGTTCATGTTTACTTTCTCATGACTTAATAATTGATATTATTTTCATTTGAAACTCAATTTTTTATCGGTATTACTTTTGAAAACCATCCTTTGCTTGCAAATTGACGAACTCCAAAATCGTTGAACGAAAATATTTTAGTTCTGGAAACTCTAATTTATACCAATTCGGGTTCAGATTTTTTTGGCCATCACAGAACCGGGCCTCAGTAACAATGATAATAATAATAAAATAATATTTTTTTTTATGTGAAAAAGACCTTTGAAGTCCTAGCGGTCGAAATCAAACTCTTCTAAATAAGCAATGATGTTATTTCTTTTTGTTCTTGCTTCTTTTCTCTTTTGAAGTTCCTATAATATTTATTATGTTATGTTTAAAAGATATTTGCATTTTTAATTCAATATTTTAGGGCTTTTGTCTCACATTCAGTTAAGTTGGTTTATGTTGTTTGATGTGAAATCTAAGTTAACTATACTTTTTTCTTTACTTGGTTTCATGTTAATTTTTTCATGACTGATTACTTAATAATTTGATATTATTTTCATTAAAAGTCTCAATTTTTTATCCATTTTACTTTGAAAACCCATCCCTTGCTTTCTGATTGATGAACTACACTACTATTGAACAAAAATTATTAGTCAGTACCGAAAGTACCGAAAAAACCAGGAAATCCCGATTCCTAAGAGGCGCGGTACCGAAATTCCCGGTTCCGAAAACCCTAATTTTTAGGACACAGGATTAGGGAAAGATTTATCAATATTTTCTTGTTTTTTTTTAATTTCTTTAATACGGTATGGAAATTTGGAAGTGTGAACAGGATAAGTATTTTTGAAGAAGCAAAAATTTTTATGAAGAATGCATTTTTCTCAAAATATTATTAATAGAAACGTTTTTCCTCTTGGAAAGACAATCCGGGGACATATTTTATAGAAAAAGATACTGGAATAGATTAAACAAAATAAAAAGTTTGTGTTAAAGGTTTGTTTGAATGTGATTCAAAAAGAAATGCACACTTCTCTTATCTTGATATAATTTAACTTAGTAGAAAACAAATGTCAACAAATCTTAAATCTTAATAACTACTTAGCTTATACCGTGTGGTTATTGCCAGAATCTGTATACCGTGTGTTGTGCATCGGAACACGGGTCATAGGAAATCTCATCTAAATTTTGAAAAGGCAAATATCAAAAGTTGTATTAGACTTTTTTGAAGAGGCGTTAAATATTTAATTAAATAATAATTAAATTTAATTTTAATAATAAAATGTCCAATCAGAAACCAGGTAGACCAATTAATGGTAGCATTGAACGCATCCTGCAAATATTCAATCGAAGAGAGAGAAATTCTATCTTCACTATCTTCTTTCAAATTCTATCTCTCATAAAAATATATTCTAGGTTAATTGGATACTTAATGAACAGGCGGCATCATGGCTACATCTTGAGATCATTTCGAAGAAGCACTTTTCATTTTGAGTTGTTCAAGTATTCCAATTTGATGTTTTTGAGACAAAAGAACAAAGAACTACCCAACAAAAGACCGTAAGAATATTTATATTATCACATAAAAGTAATGAATTAAATGAAAAATAAATCTTAAATTTTACTCAATAAAAGAATAGTATTAAGAATAAATAAGAAATAATAAAAAACAAACAGAAAATCACAGTGAACTAAGAAAAATTTATATTTGTCTAAAGAAGTTAATAAAAAAACACAGTATTTCGAAATAACTACCATAGCATTCATTTCATTTTCAATAAATAAATATAAAAATGGTATTTGACTCATTTCTTTTTCTTTTGAGTTTATTTTGACTTCATTGGCTAAGGTACTTGTCTTTTTATTTAATGGTAAAGTACCTAAGTATCGTTTATGCAGTGGCAAGAATCCTTATATAATTTTATTATATACCTATACCTACTGCAAGAAATTTGTTTTCTATTTTATAATTTGGCTTGCCTGAAAAAAAGCCTTTTACCATCCTGGTACTATCGATAGTTGCGCCTCGGTGGTACGAAAGTACTACCATTGCACGCAGGCCGCTATCTCCCGTTCGGGACTTAATATCTACCGGCACTTTCCGACAAGTCGGAATTAACTATCTCTGCGCTGTGGTTGTCATTTTGTGGATCTGCCCAAGCTCACCTGATGATGGAGTAGGGGTCCGAAACCGGTAGTGAGTGCAGGTTGATCCACATTATGACAAACACAGCGTAGAATTAAATTTCTATGTCAGCAGTTAAGTGGCAAGAATCCTTATAATTTTATTATATACCTATACTGCTTGTTTTCTATTTTAGTATTGTTTATTTGTCATACATACAAAGTACCTAGTGTAATTAATTAGAAATCCACAATTTTTTTTAGAAAGTAGTGATTGATATGTCCACTATCTCATTCAAAAACTCTCATTTCTTTATACAGGTGCCCCAATATTCCGTGGACATAGAACTACTACGTATTTTTGAAATCAAAATAAGTTTATTAGACACAATTTACCTTTATACAGAAGTGCATCGTTTATCCTCTAGAGGGCATTAAACTTTAAAAAAATAAACACATTTTTTCCGATATTTTAAGAACCGTTATTCCGATTAGAATGTGATTTTGGGTGTCTATATTTTTTTAAGTTTTTTTAACTTTAATATTTCGCTTTCACAAAAATCAAGAAAAAGTACGTTCACCACTGCACAAATTTTAGTATAAATATTAAATTATTTTTTAAATCAAAATAAGTCAATTGCACATAATTTACCTTTATACAAAAGTGCTTCGTTTGTCCGTGAGAGGGCGATAAATCCAAACCTTAATTAATTTATAATTTATTAATTTTTTTAAGCTTTTTATGAAGCTAATTGTCGAATATAATCTGTGATACTAACATAAAATTCCATATTTTCGCCAACTAGATTATTAGAACATACCTAATAGATTGTATGCGCCTCCATAGCATATTTTCATTTTCATTATAAGTCAGCTTCTTTGGAAATTTTTTTTTCTCAAAAAGTAAGGTGGTTTTTTTACAATAATAGACAGAAAATGTAGTAAATACTAGAGGGACCTTTTTACGAAAAGAAAATCGGCCGTCGGTAGAGTTGAGAAATATTTATATTATTTATACTAAAAGTTATATAGGGGTGGGGGTAGATAATACCCTTCCCGTACTTTTTCTTGATTTTTTTTGAAAGTCAAATGTTAGAGCACTTAGCAAAACGTAGGCACCCAAAATATCATTCAAATCGGAATAACGGTTCTTAAAATATCTGAAAAAATGTGTTTATTTTTTTAAAGTTTCATGCCCTCTAGCGGACAAACGAAGCACTTTTGTATAGAGGTAAATTGTGTCCAATGAACTTATTTTGAGTTTTATGTCCACGGAATATGGGAACATCCTGTATATACGTAAATTTAACTAACCATTTTTAATATTTTCTTTTAGACACATCATAGATACCTACAAAACAAATGTGATGCGGTTGGCTGATGCGTTTTGCTTCAGATGGTTGTGTATCTTAATTATATCGGTCTTTTCCTGCCTATTTGTGACGTATGTGGTAAACTCCCAAACTGCGACCTACGAAAAATTCAACCCTAAACTGAACAGGACTTCTGTGTACAGAGATTACGCATATGCCCTTTGGTATCCCTTTGACACTTCTGTATCTGACGGGTTCTATTATATTGGATTCTTCTATCAACCTTATGCGTTCTTCATGCTAATGTCTAGTTATATGTGTAAGTTTTAGTAGAATTAAAAATCTGACAGACAATAATAATTGCCACTATATATAGTTACGTATATGAATAACTAAAATGCTATATTTAGAATGTTTTACAAAATAAAAAATCGGGAAAATTGCAACTTACGTAAATTTTTGATTGATACAAATTGTTGATACAAATACAATATTTGAAATACCATGGTAACATTGTCTGACAAAATTAATTATGCATTATCCCAATCTTTATCCCAGATCCCAGTGGAACAAAATTCCCCATTTTATGAATACTTAAATATGAAAATATTTAGGTACCATTTATAACATTATCATATTATAAAAGAAAGAGACCAAACCGTTTTTAAAAAATTTCGCAAGGAAGTCGTAACTTAAACCAGGGGCCGGAAAGTGAAACAGCAAAAGCGGTTCCACCGTTTCCATGGAAATTTCAAATAAAATAGTTCCAGCCTCGGGCGCTAGGTGGTAGTGCAATTATTTTTTAGGTTAAGAAGTTGCTACTAGTTATTGCCAGATGGCGTTCAATCATATTTTTTTTGTAGTTTCCATAGTTTCCAACGGCCATTGTCATACTATTGTCAAATTCTCAAAAAATATTGTCGTTGTCATAGCGCCAATCATAATATTATCAAAAATGATTATCAAAACGTTTTTCAAACTATAATTTGTTATATGTGTTTTTATTAAACAATTCCGTTTGTTTGTGGCCCTAAAAATATAATTTAAGTCTTTTATTTTTGCCATCATTTAAGTACCTATTTATATTTACTCAATTTACAAAACTTTGGGCGTATTACGTTGGTCTTGTTTTATTATAATAAACGATGTTTAAATATTTGACTTATAAATAAAAACTTTAAATAATAAATAATATTTACACATGTTTGGCTTTAATTTTATTTAATAATTGTATAAATTATACTGTTAAATCTTATTTTTTACACATCATAACGATACTTGTTATTAGTATTCTTGAATTTGTGTAAAAAATAAGATTTAATAATCAAATTTAATTATTTTAGAATAAAATTCATTCAGCGCGGGCTCATTTAAAAAGCCCGCGCTTCGATCCATTTAAAACAAGCCCTACTCAATAGATGGCGCCACTTCTGTAGGACCATTTTTCAGTATGGCAGAGTCCATTCTTTTTCTAGCTAGGTATATTCTTTAACTTAAACTTATAAAAGTATTCCATACAGGGTGAGTCTTAAATAAGTGCAAGTATTTTTAGAGATAGTACATTTCGAATTTAAAAAAAAATGTTTAGTATTTAGTTAAAAAAACATAATTTGTTGATAATATGGCAACATAGGTAGTAGATTAAATTTACAATGAAGAAAATCCAAAAAAGATCCAGTGGTTCTCAAAATTTTAGCAAAAAATCATTTTATTTTAATTTTCAAAGTAAAATAACTTGGTTATTTTGGATTTATTTGAAAAACGGTAAAGAGAAAATATGTTTCTGTTATCGAGATCTACAAGCCCTGAAAATATTTTCACTTATTTAATACTCATCCTGTATAATAAAATGCCACTCATGTGTAGGTTATCTTTTATTGAGTTATAATCTTTGAATAAGAAGACTAAGGAAGGAGCATATCAAAAATATTAGGTACACCGCGATGGGCCTCAAATATGGCCGACTTAAATTCCGGTTTATCAGTGTCGTTCTAATTTTATTTAAAAAATGTAAAACTATGATGTAGGGTAGACGTGGGGTAGACTCAATAATTTGTTGTTTTATTTTCGTTGTGAATAAATGTTGGTAGTTATTAAAATTGTTATAAAATATATAATTCTAATAAAAATAGATAAGCATTATAATAAGTATTTATTAACACAAACATCCGATACGCTACTGAAGCAGGTAAGTCAAATTAACATTATCTAAATTCTTTGACATCTAATCTTTGACAAGTAATAAATAAAAGCTAAAATGCAAAAGAAAAATATATAATTTAGTTAATTTAAGTGAATTTCATAAATGATCGGTTTACTACACGTATATGTATATTATATAGTCACTTACTAGCGAAAAGTTGTTCCATTATTTCACTCCAAATTTTGCCGAGATCTACCGCACGCTACACAACCAACTATTTTAGAGTCTTTTTTCGATAAATCGCGATAGTGTCACTGTTAATTTAAGTTCTGCCACAATTTCCATCTAGATTTACTACCTTTATACAACTATCAGTAGTAGAATAAATAATAAATAACATAAAATCAGCTCCGTAAAGACTGATAAATCCACAAAATTTCAAATCCAATTAAAATGTGTCAAATGAATCGTCAAACAGAACTGTCAAGGATCCCCACCCTAAAGAGCTTTTATGGTGCCTTTTCCGCCCACCATGCATGAATACATGGATAGCATTATGCTCCTTCCTTAGTCTTCTTATTCAAAGGTTATAATAAATTATAACTCAATGCTCTAGTCTATTATAATTATTTCTGTTCATAGTATCCTTTGAATAAGAAGACTAAGGAAGGAGCATAATACTATCCATGTATTCAAGCATGGTGGGCGGAAAAGCCACCATAAAAGCTCTCTAGGGTGGGGATCCTTGACAGTTCTGTTTGACGATTCATTTGACACATTTGAATTTGATTTGAAATTTTGTGGATTTGTCAGCCTTTACGGAGCTTATTTTATGTTATTTATTATTTATTCTACTACTGATAGTTGTAAGGTAGTAAAATCTAGATGAAGAACTATTGGCAGAAACTTAAATTAACGGTATTTATCATGTTATTGAAAAAAGACTCTAAAATAGTTGGTTTGTGGCGTGCGGTAGATCTCGGCAAGAATTTGAGGTGAAATAATGGAACAACTTTCGCTGGTGTGACTATATAATATACATACGTGTAGTAAACCGATCATTTATGAAAATTCACTTAAATTAATTAAATTATATATTTTCTTGCATTTTAGCTTTTATTTATTACTTGTCAAAAGATTAGATGTCAAAAGAATTTAGATACGTTAATTTTGACTTACCTAAGCTTCAATATAGCGTATCGGATGTTTGTGTTAATAAATACTTATTATAACTTATCTATTTTTATTAGAATTATATATTTTTATAACAATTTTAATAACTACCAACATTTATTCACAACGTAAAATAAAACAACAAATTTTTGAGTCTACCCCACGTCTACCCTACATCATAGTTTTACATTTTTTAAATAAAATTAGAACGACACTGATAAACCGGAATTTAAGTCGGCCATATTTGAGGCCCATCGCGGTGTACCTAAGATTTTTGATATGCTCCTTCCTTAGTCTTCTTATTCAAAGATAGTATCACAGAATTTACAGGGTGATTGATATTTTACTTTATTTTAGGTATTTTTATGTTTAACCTGGGCTGCGTAATTTATTTAAAATCACATGCCAACGTTGTTGGATACTCTTTCAAATTTATTGACCAAAATATCGATGAGATGATGAGCTATAACGAAGTAATGTCTCTTAAAGAAATTCGAATTGTTAAATGCATCAATGAGCTTCAGGAAATTTATAAGTGAGTAAAGATTTTAGGATTTATTATTGATAGATAAATAGTTTTATTCTATAACATCAAGTATTCGCCAAAAAAATAATATGGTATATGTCTTAATTCCAAAAATCAAATCAGAATTATAATTAAAGAGAAACATGATAAATAAAATATTAGAAATAAAAATAAGAAAAAAAAAATTACAGTAATTCTTGGATAATATTTAAAAAATTTCTAAATAACAATTTTGTTTTTAAATAATACTTTTTTAGGTGTGCTTCTTTAATCAACAACATCTTGGCTAATCAGATGTTACTGCAAATATTTTTTGTTGGCTTGATAACTTGTATTGTTATATATAGGGTGGAGTCAGTAAGTATATGAGTTCCCAAAAAAAATCAAATTGAATTTTTGGGCTTTTTCTTTATTTTTTGCATTTTTAACATGTACATTAATTTCAATTTCATATTATTTTTACATATAGTATGTCCCGTTATAGAGTGTTTTAATTTTACTATGACTTTTATAATATATTACTGTTTGGTGTAATTAAGTGACAAAGTAATTAATATTTTAGGTGAAAACCATAGGTGAAATTGTCTATCTCACAATTATGACAGTTGTTTTTATACTATTGGGTTTCTTTATGTGCTGGTACAACCAAGAGTTTACTTTAGAGGTAGGATTATTCATTAAAACATCAATTCATAATATTTTATTAACAATATATGGTTTTATTATTTATTAATATTATTATATTGCAATCATAACACCTACTCATGACTGTACAGGGTGGTCGAAATTAGTCTGTTTTAACAGAGAAAACCTATTTCCTGATGTTTACAGTGGCGGACTAAGGGGGGGGGGCGGAAGGGGCGGTCCGCCCCGGGCCCCGTCTTTTAGGGGGCCTCCGAATCATAATAAGTAATTTTTTATTCAACTGGCAAACAAGGCCAATATGTGTGATAAAGTAGTTATAAAGCAGTAGTTATAAAGCAGTTTGTAGGTGGAGTATGCAAACCATACGTATACGCCAACAGTATAAATGGAAGCAGATATTTACTTAATTATCAATTATGAGGCCCCAGTAATTGTCAATGGCATTTTCTATTTAGGAAATTAAATCAAGGGGTAATTTTCTTTGTTTAAAATATCGAATAACTATTATTTTTTATATATTTTGAGACTGAATTTATTTATTTTAGCTTTTAAGTTATTTTTCAATGGTTTCATAATTTATTTTTACTGATTAAACATTTTAAATTACAACCAATGCACAGCATAACTTATATTCTAGCTACATTACTGATGATGAGCAGTGAAGGGTATAGTATAACGGGAGCCACGGGCCTGAGACAGCGAAGGGGCCCCTCGGATCTTGGAGGACTTAAAAATTTGCTATATTGTGTAGCGGTATTTCCCTGGAAGCATTTTTAAGAAAAAAAATTAAAATTTTTGGACGAAAAAAACTACCTGTCAAGAAAATTTGTACGGCCTAAAAGTCAAATTTAGTGATTATCACAGCCCCTGTGACATAAAGAAAAGACATGTGGCTATCTATTTCAAAAATTATATTGTTCAAATGTCATATAATAATGGCGGTAGCTGTCATGGAATTGAGCGGTTAAAAAATCCATAAATATTTTTTTTTTCAAATGGAAACCCACTTTTTTTATTTCACTAGTGAAAAGGTTTTCCAATTCGTTACGTTTTAACTAGACATATTCCTATACCTAAAATAAATCGTTTTTAAGTTATTTAAGATTTAGTTTGAAAACGTATAGTATATTTCTTGATTTTATTTTTTATTTATAGGGTTCTTGGCTTTTGGTCAATATTAAACTTTTTCTGGGTTTAGGAAGTGTTTATTATATAACTAACGTTTCGGTCCAGTTTTAACCTTTTTCAAAGCCTACAATACGATATTATCAAACCACAACTGTGTAAAAAAAATATAAATAAAACTTACCACAAAACGTACATTTCCTTCGTCGAACTTGTATTAAAACATGGGTGCATAAAATAACAGGTGATAACACATAACATTTAACTTAAAATTATACTCATACAATATCACCCACATGACACAATAATTAACATATACAGTTTAAAATTTTAATAAATTGTGATGGCCGGCTCAATGTATTTTCTTGATTTTATATAGCTTCTAGCTTCCTTTTAGTGTCAAACAGTCAGAAAATGTATTTCCATCTGTCAGAAAATGAATTATTTGAATTTCCTATATTATAACTACTGCTGCTTAAAAGTTTAAAAAGTGTATTTATATAAATATATCTCGTATTTTTGTTCTTTAGTGATATCTAATAGTTGATATTTTAAGAATATACCGTACGATAAAAAAAACAGCGCAAAGTTAGCTTGGAAATGATGATCGATAATATACTGTCATAGCTGTGGTCATAGGCTACTGGTTAAAATCAAGAAAAATATGCGCTTTAAAGCTAAATCTTAAATAACTTAAAAACGATTTATTTTAGGTACAGGAACATGTATAGTCAAAAAATAACAAATTTTAAAAACGAGAGTAACGAAAGCCTTTTCACGAGTGAAATAAAAAAACTGGATTTCCATTTGAAAAAAAAAAGATTTATGATAATTTTTTAATCGCTTATTTCCATGACAGCTGCGGCCATTATTATATGACATTCGGACAATTTAATTTTTGACATAGATAGCCACATGTTTTCTCTTTATGGTACAGTGGCTGTAGCAATCATTAAACTTGACGTTTAGGCTATATACATATTTTTGACAGGCAGTTTTTTCCTCTAAAAATTATAAATATTTTTTTTTCTCAAAAATGGTTAACGTTAGGTATAGAGTTAATATCAAAATTCATAAAATTTTACAGAGAATTTAAGTATGCAATAAAAAATGGGGTAACCCATTTAAAATAAGAAAGTTGCTGTCAATTTTCGGTACTTCCGAAAGTGCCGTCATATTGAAAATATTTTTAATCGATAGATCTCATTGTGAAACAATGATATGCACAAAATCTCGTATCTAGATATTGTAGTTCCCTAGAAACTTCTAACGCAGGCTCAGCCTGGGACACCCTGTATAAATACTTGAATTTTGTCAACCATTATACATACGTCATTCAATTTCTACAAAATGTGCATTAGAAGTATATCATTATCTAAACAGACCGGGGGCCACATTTAGCTTCGCCGCCCCGGGCCCCCGACAGGCTTAGTCCGCCACTGCATGTTTAATGGCGTAAACCACCTGTTGATATTTTCACTGCCAACTGAGATACAGGGACTTTTTGAATTTTTTACCATTTGAAAAATTGCCCATAACTTTTGTATTTCGCGGAATAATAAAGTTCTGTAAGAACGTTCTTAAGACACTTTTTTAAGCACAATTCAGTGGCGTAGTCAGTTTATTTATACTTGCTCATTTTTTCAGAAGTGATAAAAAATATAATTTTTTAAATGGAAATTATAGTTGGCTATGGACTTAAAAAAATGCTGGCGTTTAACCCTTTCCAACGATATAAAGTTATCTGTATTGATTTATAAGAATGAGAGAAATATTAGATTTTTTATCTTTGTATCGAAGCGAGCCTTGATTTTGTGTTGAGCTAGTTGCCTAATTATTTTTTGTCACAATTTAATATTCTATATTTTTATTTTTCTGCATAATTAAAGACTTTTGAAAAGGTAAATCAACATTCTATATTAGTATAACCAATTGTGATTAAAACGCCAGGGTTATAACTGAACTATTAAATGGAGAATTTAGAGAGAGTTGGATTGGCAAAAGGACCTCATATCCTGCTAAGTCCTGTGATTTAATAATAATAATTTTTTATGGGGGAAATTAAAAGATATTATATATAAGGGAAGAACCATTGGGACGAGAGAAGAATAATTGCAGAAGGCTACTAGGTAAGCTTTTTGACTTATTACTCCAGTTCGCCTAATAAATCGCTGTAACTCTGTGCGCAAAAGATGTTTATAGTGTATTCAACAAAGATGTGCTGTTTGAACATCTTTGATGTTTTTTCAGAAAACTGTAAAAGAAGCCACTCAGAAAAAAGTCACTCAAAACATACGTTTTTTAGTTTTGTTCATTGTTTATTGTATCGATTTCAGTTGTAATTACTAATGCTAATATAGAATGTTAATTTACCTTTTCAAAAGTTTTTAATTATGCAGATAAATAATAAGATAGAATATAAATTGTGATAAAAATAACTAGGCAAATCGATATAAAGATAAAAAATCTAATATTTCTCTCATTCTTAGAAATAGATACTCATAACTTTATGTCGTTGGAAAGGGTTACACGTCACCATTTTTTTAAGTTCATAGCCAACTATGATTTCCATTTAAAAAATTATATTTTTTATTCTTTCTGACAAAAAGAGCAAACATAGAAAAAAACTAACTACGCCACTGGATTGTGCTTAAAAAGTGCCTTTTTTAAAGAACATTTTTACAGAATTTTATTATTCCACGAAGTAAAAAAGTTATGGACAATTTTCAAAATGGTAAAAAATTCAAAAAGACCCCGTATCTCAGTTGACAGTGAAAATATCAACAGGCGGTTTACGCCATTAAACATGTCTCAGAAATCGAGCCCATGACATCTATGTCGGTTTTGCTCTATCTAGTCAGGAAATAGGGTTTCTCTTTATATTACTTACTATTTTTAATTAACTGAAAAGAACTTAAAATTACCTTTCCAAAAATATAGCACACTTGATATTTTGTTATAATCCCCTTCGAAATAGAGAATTTTTAAAAGTTCGCCACTTTTAACTAGTAGGCTTTGTACCCCTTATTGATGATATGCGCCTAATGGAACATATTTTTCCATTCATTGTTCATTCGGCACCTCCTAAGAACGCTGAAGTTATCAGCAAATTTTTGTAGCCAGTTTCAAGAATAATTGATTAGCTAACCAAGATCCCAGCCCTTGGCCGTCGAGGCCACCAGACTTAGTGCCTATGGATTTAATCCTGTGGATATCTTTGCGGAAGAATAAAGGTTCTTATTTTTAAATGGCCCGTATAATCTAGACAAGAATTAGAAATACCTAGAAGTTATGAGAGGGTATCTTTCATCCCCACTGAGTTAATGAATTCTGCAAAAATGTTCAAAAACGGCCCCATCTGTCCATAACAGAAGACGGTCGATATGTCGAATACCTGTAGCAAAATCTCATGTTTCGCTTTGCGTAGCTAGATATTCTGTGGTATTAGATATAGTTTAAATGTGTTGGTGTTGGTTAAATATAGTTTAAATTGTTATAAAATTCTGCACCTCTCATTGCAAATATTATTTTCGTTTTAATTGATGCTCATGCTCACAGCTAGATTTTTTTTGGCATTTCCGCCGTTCAAAGCCTACTTATTTAAAATGGGCGAATTTTTATAAACTCTATATCTCGAATAGAAATCGAGCAAAATATCAAGTGTGCTATATTTTTAGAAAGGTTATTTTAAATTATTTTCAATGAATCAATAGTAATAATATACAAGGTGTCCCATATAAAAAATCAAATTTTCTGTTGATAATTCTTAAATTATTAATTTTAAAAAAATTATACTTAAACCATTAAAGTCTACGTAAAAAGGTAAAGTGGGTTTTCGTAAAAATACAAAATTTTCCATAGCAAAAAAATTACAGCGATTTGTTAAAAATACACATTTTAGAAAAACACCCCGTAACTCTGAAACGGTAACAGATATCGATATACGGTTTTCACCATCAAGTTTTTGACAAAAATTGAGCTTCAGACACCGATATTAGTTTTCGTCTATCTCCTATAGAAAAGGGTGTTTCCCTTTAAAAGCGTCCAATTTGGCCCACCCTGTACAGTAGATAGATTTTTTTTGTTAACTCACGGTAACTCATTTTCTGCATTTGCAGATAATGAATATTTCCAAAAGCGTTCATGAACTGGAATGGAATACTTATTCGGCCAGACTGCTTAAAACATTAATATTTTTAATGGCCCGTCTACAAAAACCATTTTATTTCACATTGGGGCAATGGACACCTATCGATATAGGAGCTTTTTTGGTGGTATGTTTTTGAATAGTCATTAATACATACATAGAATTATTTTTTAACAAATTTTTATTTTTAGACTATCAAAATGTCATACTCTTTCTACACCTTGATCAGGACAAGAGGCTATAAAAGGCAAAATATTAATTGAAATCTAAAAAGTAAAAACATTTAGTTCCTAGAGATCTAATGCACTTTAAATAATATACGTAGGAATACTCAACTATTTTATATTCAACTACCGATGTTATTTTATTTTCACATATAAATAAAATCAAGCATTATCTTGTTTCATTTTTAGAACCTTTTGGAGGGACCCTGTAAATAACTACCTTTATATTAAATGATTAATCATTAAAACCATGAGATTAAACTTATCTTGACATTATGCAACTTCAAATACAGTAAGAGAGATGTAACTTGTTAGGCAACCAAATATGCCTTCTATTATCAATAAGACCAAAAATAAGACATGACAAGTGAAAAGACAAAAACTTTCTAAAAACAGAAACATTAAACATTTTAAAACAACAGTTTTTAGGTATAAGCAGAAAGTTTTTCTATTTCCTTATTTTCTCCGTCAATAGAGTTAAAAACATACACTTCCAAAAATTGATAAGAAGAAAATTAAAAGTTGAAGGTTAACTATGAATAATTAAATATGTTTATCTCCAGTCAAAATACCAAATTGATCATAATAACAGTAAATTGGCATGAAACCTAAGTGGAAAATTAGGTAAAGACCGAATATACTGTAAATTTATAAAGCATTTATGAGAACAAAATGAAGATATCCATAGATGACTATGACAAGACTTATGAACCACCAAAGACCAAGTCCACTAAAATTTGTCCATTGTATTTTCTTTCCGTTGGACGAATATTAGCTATTCTAGCCACCTTAGTTGTAATAGGCTGTATACTATTACTTTGTAAAGCCTATATTAAATTTGTTTTATTGTGGCTAGAAAAACAAGATGAATTAGTAATAGCTGGAACCGTTTGCATTTTATTTATTATAGTTTCACTTCCAATTAGCGTGGGATATATTGTTTTGGTTCTAGCTTCAGGTTATTTATTTGGAATAGGCAAAGGTTTACTTTTAGGTAAGTGTTTTTGATTATTTACTGCAGTTAATGTAATTAAAACTATATTTTAGTGGTTTTTGGTGCCAATATAGGTCTCCTTATTGCTCACAATCTTCTCAAAGTAGTGGGATACCATCCCAGTATATACAGGTTTACTCAGAATGAAATGGCTGTGGCAATAATGCAGGTGATATCGGGTCCATTGTGCTTCAAGATTGTTTTCTGTTCGAGACTGACACCCATTCCTTTTGGATTACAAAATACAATATTTGCAGTAAAGCTCTTTCTTTTTTTTAAATGTAGTAGGTATAGTTAATGTGTGTTTTTTTTAGTTAAGCAATGTCAGTTCAAGAATCTACCATGTAGCTTCTTTATTTGGTCTGTTTCCTGCTCAACTTGTGACGGTGTATGTTGGATCTACGCTAAGATCCATGCAAGACGTTATAGAAAATAATCACATTTCTTCTACGACATATTTTATAGTGGTTGTACAGGTATACATAATTGATATATTTTTAGTTAAGTAGATATTAAATAATTAAAAATTTGTTTTCAGTTGATTTGTGGCATTTCTTTGATTATATGGATAGGAAGTAAAGCAAGAAATGAACTGATGAAAGTCTTGTCTGATGCAGATAATGCTTCCATTAAAACTTCCTACTCTCTTGTGTGATATTATTTAAATAATCTTATTATTTATGACTCATAATTTTTTCATCAGAAATTTTAATTTATTATTCTCATTTTCATTGATAACATAACTAAACTGGCATTTATTGTAGTAATATTGAATAATACATCACAATTTAATTGAATTAAGTTCATGAAGTTTGTGATATGAAGTGCATTTTTAATGTGTGATTATTTGAATTTTTAAATCATGTGACAAATCAATATGTATTGTAACCACACAAAAGAAAAAAAAATCTATATATAGTAGGTTTGTGGTGTAATTATATTTTTTTATAAACTGAGCAAAATTTAATCTATGTTTATTGTTTGTTTGACTAAAAACGAATTTATCTGAGTATAAAACATTTTAAAAATTAGAAATTTATAAATTAGTAATGAATACATCTATATTTATAGAAATCTTCCATGACCCTATTGTTTTTTATGAAGTTTTTTCATTAAGTTGTTAATGTATAATCACAGATACTTTTAACATATTCTCTGTGGTATAATTCTTTGAGAAGAATCGTAGTTGTATAATTAATCTGTGGTGAGTATACAGGGTGTCCCAATATTCTGTGAACATGGAGCTACTAAAGTTCATTGGACACAATTTACCTCTATACAAAAGTGCTTCGTTTGTCCACTAGAGAGCGTCAAACTTTAAAAAAATATAAACACATTTTTTCAGATATTTTAAGAACCGTTCTTCCTATTTGAATGATATTTTGGGTGTCCATGTTTCGGTAAGTGCTTTAATATTTGACTTTCACAAAAATGAAGAAAAAACACGGGAAGGGTAAAAACTACCCTCACCCCTGCATAAATTATAGTATAAATATTTTCCAACTCTACCGACGACGGATTTTCTTTTCGTAAAATGGTCTCTAGTATTTACTACATTTTTTGTCTCTTGTAAAAAAATGGCATAGTTCCTGAGGAAAAATAATTTGGAGAAAGTATTTTTCCAAAGCAGGTCTACAAAATATACAGGGAGTTCCAATATTCCGTGGACATAAAACAACTACGTATTTTTTGAATCAAAATAAGTTAATTGCACATAATTTACCTTTATATAAAAGTGCTTCGTTTGTCCCTTAGAGGGCATCAATCAAAAATAAACCCAAACGTTAATTAATTTATAAATTTTATGCTTTTTATGAAGCTTACTATCAAATATAATATTAGATTATTAGAGCATAATAAATGTTATGCGCTTCCATATCTTGATGTAACATAAAACATTTTTTGGAAGTCAGCTTCGGAAACACTTTTTTTTCTAACTTCTTTACGAAAGACAAAAAACGCAATAAACACTAGAAGAGCCATTTTACAAAAAAAAAATCGGTCGTCTGTTGAGTTGGAAAATATTTACAATAAAATTTATGTAAGGGGGGGGGGGTAGTTTTTACCCTTCCCGTACTTTTTCTTGATGTTTTTGAAAGTCATTTGTTAAAGCACTTTGCAAATCATATATACTTAAAATCTCATTCAAACAGAATAACGGTTTTTAAAATATCTGAAAAAAATGTGTTCATTTTTTTAAAATTTGATGCCCTTTAAAATAAAAAAAAAGTAAATTGTGTTCAATGAACTTATTTTGATTCCAAGTATACCCCAAGACACCCTGTATATTATTTACATGCCATAAAATCGAAAAGAAGGCCTCATAGATGCTTTGGAAATGAATGTCGCTGCCATTTTTCTGGAAAATGTCATCAATAATTGTCATTTCCAAGCCAGCTGGACACCTTTTTTTCGATCATATGTTATACATAATATCCTTTAAATAAAAATGCTGAATGTAGTTCATACATTTTATTGATGTACAAAAGTTATTTTATTTATATTCAAGTTATAGTCAACTTTAATTTATTTCTGTAATTCTTAGTTCTCTCGGATATGTACATTTCTGGGATATTTTGATGTGACAAAATATAAAATATAATATTACTCTAAATAGACATATTACATGAGTATAAACATGTAGAAAATCAAATTATGTCAAAAATTAAAAGAGACTATTTATTTTTCGGACAATGCATGACATAAAAATAAAATTTATATTTTTCACATGGAAAGAAATAAATAATATTGTAAGACTGTCTACAGGCGTGTAGTATCAGACAAATAATGAAGATATTTATTTAGATTTTAGTTGTGAATAATTGAATTTATGAGTGTAAACCAAAGATCTGTCAATAAAGTAACTCCAAAAATAACTGTAATATATCTTTCTTTGACCTATTCTGTTTGATTTTAATCTAATTTAAGTATTAATGCAAATGGTATTTATTTATAATAAAAAAATAATCCCATGTAAAATAACATAAATTTGAGTTATATTTCAAATATGACAGTTTTCAACAAAAAAATACTTACGCCACTGGATTCCACGTGAAGAACTGTAATGGACACCGTTTTCATATTTTCGAATGACTAAAGAATACAAGGACACCGTAGTGGCACATATTTTTCATAACTTTTTGAGAAGCTGCTTGAACAGATACTATAAAAAATATATTTTTGATAAATGTTTTGACTAATTCTGTATGCGGTGGTATTATACTAATTAATTACGAAAAAAACATATTAAAATGTTAACAAAAGGTATAAAACTAGTATCGACGTATAGCACTTATCAAATGCGTATAATATCAGAAAAATAATTATCAAATTCATGAAAAAAACGCTGAAAAGATGGAGTGGACTGTTTATTTACCTACGAAACGTAACTCCTGGCTCTTATTCTTATCGCTGCGGCTTTTACACTACTTGGAAGCTGAACAACTAATCACCATATTGTATTAAAGTTTATACAAAGTTTGCTAAACACTGCTAATACACAAAATCTGTGTATAGCATCTTTAGTTTCATAAAAATGGTACAGTGATCTGAGCTTCTGACAACCGCATCTTTGTTTTTCTACTCATAAACGAGGAACCCTGTCAAACACACGAAATAAATGGGACACCCTGTACATGCGTACAATAGATAATAGTTTTTTATATTAAATAAATAATTTGATCTTCGTTGTTTTATAGCTGAAATAATCGTCGTTCTACTAATAAATATTATTTCGCAAAAAAGAATAGAACTAGATTCTGAAAAATTACTGTTATTACAATACTTTTTCCAAAAATTGTATCTAAATTTTTAATAGTTTTTTGTTAGGGTAAGTGTGACAGAAAAAACAAAGTTAATCAATTGGTCTTTCGAAAATTGGACCAATTATTTTAATCGAAAATCATTGCGCTAGGAATTTAATATAAGGGCAGTGGCGGCTTATATTAATATATCAATAGCCCCCATAAAAAATGGAAAAAGCTATACATCAACAAAATAAAAACACTAAATCACCACAATACACCAAAACACTTTTACTTTTACACTGGACGCGTGTTTCGCTAACCATGTTAGCATCATCAGCAGATGATTATAAACTAAAATACAATCTACAAGCTGAGCGTTTATATACTCGCTCAGTGGGCACCGAGGGGGCGTGGCAAAATCTAGCCAACCGAGTCACAGCCCACCGAGCGTAACAGTTAAATTTCCGCCACTAGAGTAGTAGGAACAAAGAACTTGAAGGAATTGGACCGTTGTCTCTGTTACTATCTTTATATTTATTAATTCTGATGCTTTCATATGCATCTAATTGCCTGTAATTTGAGACTTGTTTAATTAATTTTAAATTATTCAGATCTATACAATGTTCTTTATCAACAATATGTTCGGCAACTCAAGATTTATCCGGTCTACCATATATTATCTGAGCTAAATGTTCTTTAAATCTAGTTGCCCAACATATTTCTGACTACAATTTTTCAAAGAAATTTCATAAATACCCGACCTTTCCAGTGGAGGTGTTTTATCCTTTGGATTACCTAATAATTGTTTTAATTTATTATTAGCACTATACAAGTTTATAATAGACATTCTTAAAAATTCCTTTTAGACCACGGGATAACTCTCTATCAAACGGTATTGAAAAATATGTTGACGTATCTTTCTCCACTTGAAAAGTCGAATTTTCAGAAATCATTAACCTAAACCTACGTTTTCTAATTATTTCATCAACTAGTGAAGGAGAATATCCATTACACTCAGCTACACTCCTAATGTAATCTCTTTCTATTTCATATCTTTCGCTGGAAAGTGGAAAACTAAGTAATCTATGAACTTAGAAATTTAAACTAGCCATTTTATGTTCAACATTATGATATGATTCATTAGGAATATATCTGCGTGTAGTGGTATTTTTTCTATAGATATCAAATTCCAGGCAATTATTATTATTTCTAATAACTAATACATCTAGAAATGGTAATCTGTCGTTGTTCTCAATTTCATGCGTAAATTTAATGGAAGGAAAATGATTATTTAACTTAGAAATAAAATTATCTATGGTGTCTGAATGTGTGTCAAAAACAGCAAAAATATCATCCACATACCTAAACCATACTCTTGGAAAATACTCAAACTGATTCCTAGCCTCCACTTCAAACCTGCTCGTGAATAAATTAGCCAAAAATGGAGGCAATGGATTACCCATTGCTGTACCTTCCCGCTGTTCAAAAAAGTTATTATTAAATTGAAAACAATTTTGTTTCATACATAACGATGTAAGCTCAATATATTCAATCACAGTTTTGTTGTCGAGACCATTTGCGTTCAGTAATTCCTTCAAGTAGCCTAAAGTATATGTGGAATTGGAACACTTGGGAACAACGAAGATACATCAAAGGAGACCAAAATTTCACCTTCATGCAATGTTATATCTTTAATTTTGTTAATGAATTCAATATTATTTTTAACTGAGAAAGAGGATTTTGCCAAATTATAAGTCGGAGAACCTACAGCCGAAACAATTGGGCGCATAGACTTATCCGGCTTATGCATTTTTGGTAATGCATACAATTTTGGTAATGATTGGATTGGCCAAAATCAATAAAGCAAGTGGACCAGATCAAATATATAGTGAATTGCTAAAATTGTTAAACAATGAAAACATAAATGAACTTACTGTATTGTTTAATCAGGTATACGAAACCGGTCATATTCCAGCAGTCTGGCTAAAATCAGGGGTTCAAATTAAATAGTTCACTAAACATCAAAATACGGGAGAAGTTTACAAAGTGTTATGTGTGGTCGATTCTTTTGTATGGATGTGAGACGTGGACACTTGACACTTAATAAACGATAAATAAAATCGAAGCATTTGAAATGGGGACATACAGAAGAATGCTTAAAATATCTTGGACCACCAGAAGCAGAAATGAAGAAGTTTTTCGAAGAATGGAGCACCAGACTATACTTCTAAATATTATAAAGAGACGAAAACTTGAATACCTTGGTCATATAACCAGAGGACCTCGCTGTATGAGTGTCTCCGACTAATCGTTAACGGAAAAATCGAAGGAAAGAATAAGTGGATTGCGCGCAAGAGGCTTTTGTGGTTGAGGAACTTGCTGCAATGGACAGGCTTGAGCGCGGATGAATTACTCCATGTAGCGCAAGATCGAGAGCGATACAGAGATATTGTTAACATGGCAGTCATCAACTAGGAACATGGCACTTGAAGAAGAAGAGCCCCCATACAGCAGAAGAAAGAAAACTAAATCTGCGGATTTGGCTTGTCACGTACTGAAACTCTCGTATTTTGGTCTGCGGATTTGACTTGCCGATTAGATCTTTGCCCGATAAATGTTATCGTTTAGGACAAAATTCGACGTTTTATACCAGTTTTTATACAGAGCGTCCCAATTTTTTTTTAAACATAGAACTGCTACGTATTTTTGGAATTTTTCGGTTCTTAAAATAATATTTGAAAAAATGTGTTTATTTATTTTAAGATTCCGAAAACACGTAGTAGTAGATCTATGTCCACGGAACATTGCGACACCCTGTATAGATAAATGTT